TGGCCAGGGTGACCTAGAGGGGTTGGCATCTGCCACAGGGAGACCTCAGGCCTAGGGAGGTGGGAGACCTGAACTCCTCTGTAAGGATTTGGGCCTTGAGGCTTGGGGCCAACCAACCGTGGGGACAAGAAGAGGAGGGTTGTGCAGTCTGGTCAGATTCCAGACTCTAGCCTCTTTCCCCCTGCCAAGATCCTCTCTGGGGAGACCCCAAAAGCTATTTCCTAGCTGTAGAAAAGGAACTGGATACTTCTGACCTGGGGATGGGCAAGGGAACATTCCAGGATCCTTCTAAAGTGAGGTATCAGTAGATCTGGGGGGAGAACAGCTCAGCCCACTGACTCGAGGACACACAGACCCCAAAGAGAGAAAGGCCAGCTGGGAAAGTAGCACTCCCCAAGGCAGGCAGCACCCTCAGGTCTTGCCTCTCCCCTCATTTCACCTTACCTTTCCTGAGCAGGCTCCCCATCCCCCTTACCCATTCTTCCTCCCCCCATTCACCCCCACCCCCACCCCCAGCCACCCTGACGTCTGGGCGGGAGATGTAGGAGGGGACTTTGCCAGCAGCGCCATGTTGCCCTTGGAAACCATCCCGGTTGCTGTGGCAATGAGCCGTCAGCCCAGGGGGAGCTAGGGCCAGGACAGAGCTCGTCAAGGTTACAGAGCCCCAAGGGTTTCCAAGATGGAGCCAAGGACCAAGATGCCTGGGTTCCTGGAGGGTTGGGGAATGAGAGGCCAGGAGGTGAGCAGACTAGTGCAGGAAGGCCCTGGGCAGGTCCTGCGTCTTATACCCCACCCCCTTCCCCTCTCTCTGGGCTGGATCTGGCTTTCCCCTTCCCGGGCCCTAGGACTGCAGGGCCCAGTCTCATTGCTTGGCTCTCCAAGGTATTCCCGTCACAGGAACATGGGCACTTTTCGTTGTTCCCAAGAAGCCTGACATCCCCAGGGCCCCGTCTGGTGAGGGTGGACGGGGAAGAAGGAGAAGGGAGAAGTTTGCCCTACAAAGCAGGCGACTCCTGTGTCCTGCCTGGGGGCTTGTCATGCCATTCCCTGGCCCTGGCTCTGACCCCAAGGCCCAGCTGGCCTCTCTCCTCTCCAGTTCCCTGGTAATAAGTCCTGATAGCTGCTCCTCCCAACCAGCTGCCCAGAACCCTGGCACCCAGTTTCCTAGCTCAGGAGCCCCAGGCCCTGCCCTATTGCCTCGGCCAGCAGTGGCACACAGTGGGCCCCCAAGTGACTGGGCCAGAGCTAACACTCCTTCCCCCTCCCTGGACCCCGTTGCTGCCCAGCTCCTCCACAGTCTCCACAGTCTCATTAGCATGCGGCACTCTCCTCCCGTTGCCAAGGCAACTGGCTGCTCAGCTCCCTCAGGCATGACGGCACCAGCCATCTTGGTGAAGGGGGGCCTCAGTCCCGTCTTCCCCCAGCCTCTCAGTTTCAACTGGCCCAATCCCACCCCCGGCCTTGGGCCAGCCCCTATTCTTTCTCTAGATGCCATCCTGGGCTTGCTCCCGAGAAGTGGGGTCACCTGCTCCCTTTGCAGGCCCTCTCACCTTTCCCCAGAAGCTCCCAGTCCCTTCCTACCCTTCCCCCATCACACACACACACACACACACACACATCACCACACAATTCCCAGGCATCCCCTTTTCCTTCCCCTTCTTTGAGTTCATTGCTCTGCCTCTCCTCATCTTCTCTGCCTTCACTATGCTCGCCCAGGCAGCTGGCAGTGATGGATGGCATTACTCGGGGTCTCGCCTGAAGCAGGCAGATAAGGCGCCCCTGGCTGTGTCTCTGTCACCCTCTCTGTGGAGAAGGGGAGATGGAGGAGGGAGCTGGGAGAGAGGGGAATGTGCCTGTATCCCCGGAGAGGTCAGACCTCAGCCAGGATGAGCGGGGTGGGAGGGGGTATGTGTGATGAAATTCTTGGGGTTCCCGAGCAGCGAGCTTGGCCTGGGAGCAGAAAGGAGTTGGAGCAGAGGGGATCCTGAATACGGCCTGTTCATGCTGGAGCCCCCCCCAGCTCTTCAAACCCTGGAGCTTAGAGCACAGAGTGGCTGCTCCCCTCAGTCCCACCCACTGGGGACCCTGAGAAGGCTGCTGCGTGTAGGTAAGAGAAAGTGGGATCAGGAGGTGAGGCAGACAGCTAGAGGGGCTAGAGAGACAGACCAGGCACAGACAGGTGTAGACACAAACTCCTTCCATAGCCAAGTGTATGCGCACCCACACACTCACACTTGGGACAGGTACACCCCAAAGGTATACAACAATATGTGCAGCAACCCTGGAGAGACATCATAAATGCAGAGACCGTGGGGGCCAAGAGGAGAGCACATAGGCCAACGTGTGGAGGAAAGCACAGGCACCTAGAAATGCACCCACTGGCACACGTGAACTGCTGCCAATACCCTGCCACCCTCCGTCCTGCCCACACAGTTGGATGGAGGCAGCCCACCAAAAACAGCTGGCCAGGGCTGGGTCTCTCAATGTGTATGTGCGTGTGTGCGTGTGTCTGTCTGTCTGTCTCTGCATCTGTCTCTGTCTCTGTCTCTTTCTCTGTCCCTATTTTTCTCTCTGTCTCTATCTCTGTCTTTCTGTCTCTCTCTCAGTCTCTGTCTCTCTATCTCTGTTTCTGTCTGTCTCTCTATCTGTCTTTCTCTTTCTATCTGTCTGTCTCTCTCTCTCCCTTCCTTCCTAGAACATGAGCTGCCCGTCTCCTCCCTTCCTCTTCTCCCAGGTGAGGACTTCCATGACTCAGAAAACCTACGGCCTCCTCTGCCCTCCCCCTCCTCCGCTCTCTGGTTCAATCTTTCTTCTCTCCTTTTTATTGCTCTGTTCTCTATCTCTCTCTTTCCCTCTCTCCTCTCCCCATCCTTCCTTTCTCTTTCTCTGTCTCTCTCTCTTTGTCTGTTTCTCCCTCTTTTCCTTTCTCCTTCCCTTCTCCTCTCTCCCTGTCTTGTTTCTTTTTCTCTGCCTCTCTCTGCCTTTTTCTGTCTCTATTTCTGTCTCTCTCTCTCCCATTTATCTCTGTTTCTGTCTGTCTCTCCCCCACTTCATCCTTCACTGTCCCCTAGCAACTCTTTCTTCCAGCTCCTCTCACCTTCCGCCTTCCTTCCCACTTTCCCTCTACCTCTCTCCAAATCTTTCTCTCCTCCTTTCATCTCCTCCCCCCCCCATAGCCCTGGTCTCTTCCTCCTCTCTGGTCTCTCCCCCACTTCTTCCTTCCCTCCCTCCCCCCGCTTCCTCTTTCCTTCTCTCCTTTGTTCTGGAGGAGACATGACACCAAGAGCAAGTAAAAGTCATACCAACACTAAATCTTATCTCCAGGACTCAGAAGGCGCTGTCCAGCCAGACCCACCCAGACACTCACACACAAATATGCACGCTGCATGCCCACACACACTCACACAGCTCTGCACACAGAAATTGTCCTCTCTCTCTCTCTTTCTCTCTCTCTCTCATACACACACACACACACACAAATGCAACCACACACTCAGCCATATGTGCACCCCCAGACACATACTATGGCATATACCCAGATTAACAGAGACACACAAGTATACCCACACAAAGATGTACACACACAACCCTGAAAACATGTGAACACAAACACCAGAGATTTGGACATTTGATAGAGATGTGCACAGGCACAAACATACAGGCACAAACATACACACACACATACACACACACAATTCTGCAGACCTGCAGATACACAATCAGACACACCTTTTCTCACAAGCACACAGACTCTCATGCTTGTACACAAATGCCTAAGTACATGAATGCAAGTGTGTAGGCATACACACATGCACATGCAAACATGCTCACTACCAGACACCCATATACACACTTACACACAGAAGTGTGCAAAGCTGCATACTCAGTCCCCAAATACTTAGCTTGCGCCCCCACACGTGCCTGTGGATGGGAGCTGGGTGCACCAGGACCACCGGGCTCTTGGACAGACCCCAGCTGGTCCATCCCAATTCTTCTGCCCCTCTTCTCCCGGCTCCCTCCCTAAACCCTGCTTCTGAAGGGCCCCCAGGTGCCCAAAGTCTCGATCCCCTGCAGCAACCCCTGAGGTACTGGCTCAGCTCCCCCTGTATTTCCCTGTGGCAGCACCTCTCCCCATCCACCCTCCTCTGTGGAGCTATTACTAAACCTCTCCCTCAGACCCTGGCCCAAGATTCTTGGCAATGCCCCCCACCAGGGGCTTCTTACACTCTCTTCTCTCCAGCTCTCTTTCTTTCCATTCTACCCCAAGAGAAAGAAGAGAATCAGAGACAGAAAGCAGAAGACAGACAGGGAGAAAGAGCAGAAAGCAGACAGAGGAGATGCCCCCAACAGAAAAAAGGCAAGCCTCTGCCTCCTGACCACACCCTACCCCCAGGACCTCAGAACCCCTTCCCTGCCCCTGAGGCTAAAGCTTCCCTTGGGGGAGGGGAGAGCTGGGGAAAGCAAGTGCTGAGCCTCTTATCCTGTCCACCCTGACCTCAAAGGCCCTGCCCCAGCCCCAAAGCCCCTTGACCCAATACCTAAGCTGAGTTCTCCACTTGCCACCAGAGTTCCCATCTACTGCAAACCTGAGACTCAAGGCCTCAAAAAGGCTGGGGCTCCTGCTGCTCTTCCTGACTCATCTCTCCAGCCCTGCACAGCTCATTCTTTCTGTCCTCTCCCTCTTGCCCACCATCTCTCCTTCCCCATTCCCCAGTTCCCCCTCCTCATCTCCTCTTCTCCCACTGTCTCCCACTACCATCTCCTCTCGGGTTCAGACCAGAAAAAGAGATGGGTCAGAAAGCAGCAAACCACACCACCAGTCCATTCACTGGTCCCCAGTTCTGCCTTTTCCTTCTTCCCCTTTCCACCATCCATGAGGAAAAGGGGCCCTGAGAGCACAGGGTAGGGTTGGGGCTACATTCGCCAGGAATGGGGAACCCAGGCATCCAGCTTCCCCAGCCTCAGTCCTTCACCAATTTGCTTCCTTCCCAGATGGATCACGAAGATGTTGCTGGATGGCCAAGGCCCACCCCCTCCCTGAAACCTGTCACAGACACCAGGAACCTGAGGGAGAGGTTTTAGGCAGTCCTGAGGCCTCACTCACCTTCCATGGGCTGCTCCTCTGAAGGAAGACAAGGTTCGTGGGAGAAAGAGAGAAAGAAGAGAGAGAGAGAGAGACAAGGGTTAGAGCTAGAAATGGGTTCCCTGGGAGCTGGGACAGGATGGGGGGAAGCTAGGGAAGGATACAGAGGGACTAAAGGGGGACTCGATACATCCATCTGTGGCATTCACATAAACAGGTACTTCCTCCACTTTACCAGCCCCGGCTTACAAACAACTCACACACTGAACCCTTGGTTGTTACTACCAGGAGCCAACCCGGAGTTTGGTGGAAAGGGGAGAAGGTGTAGAAAGTGAGGACAGTTCTGGGGCACTGTGGATAGGGGGGAAAGGGAGACGCTCACTCAGTCCATGATAAGTACCTACCGTGGAGGTCTACAACCTAAACCCTGAATGAAACTAAGGATTCTGAGAGATGAAGGCAAATGGGGAAGGCAGCCCAGGCATGAGGTACAGCCAGGGCAGAGGCATGGAGATGGGAGATGAGCCACATATGAAGGACAAGAAAGGCACTTTGAGCACCAGCATGAAGGGTAATAATCTGCCATGAAGGTAGAAAGGGGACAGGTTGTGAAGAGTTTTCAGAGACAAACAGTGGAATTCATATTTGATCCTGGAAGGAATAGAGAGCCACTAGAATGTATTGATCAAGGAGATGACATGGTCAGACTGTGCTTTAGGAAAATCACTTTGGCAGCTGAGTGAAGGATGGATTAGAGTCAGGAGGGATGTGAGGCAGAGACTAATTAGGAGGATATTGAAATAGTTGAGGCCAGAGCTGATGAGGGCCCAGATAGGTTAGTAGCTGCATGAGTGCAGAGAAGGTGACACATACAAGAGACGTGGAAGAGATAGAAACAATAATACTTGTGGGTTTGGTTTTGAGGCAATCAGGATGAAGTGACCTGCCCAGCATCACATAGCTAGTGTCTGCGACCTGATTTGAACTTGGGTCCTCCTGACTCCAGGGCCAGTGCTCTATCCACTGCAGCATCACCTAGGTGCCCCAAAACAATAATATTTGACACCAGATTGGATATGGGGGGGGGTGTTTGAGGGTGAGTGCAGAGTCAAGGATGAACCCTAGGTAGTGAGTAGGAGGAACTCTCTCAAGTGAAATGGGGAAGTCTGGGAAAGGAGAGGGTTTGCAGGGAAAATAGTAAGTTCAATTTTGGACATGTCGAGTTGAGATCCAACCTGAAACATCCAGTTGGCAGCTGGGGATATAGAACAGGAGGGACAAAGGCGGCCTCTTGCTTAAACACTTTGAAACAACAACAGTGAGAATGCACCTGGGCTACACTCACACTAACCGGTGAAGTCATTCAAGTTTGAATCCAATGTAAAACTTTACATTAATCCCCGTTGAATTTCATCTTATCAGATCTAGCCCAGTGCCCTAGCCTGTTAAGATCTTTTTTGGTCCTGACTCTGTGCCTTAGCAATCCCTCCAGCCTTGACATCATCAGCAAGTTTGATGAGCAAGCCACTTATGCGTTTATCAAGTCTTTGAAGAAAATGCTAAACAACCAAGGGAGATACATAGATCCCTAGGGCACCACACTGGAGACCTGCGTCCAGGTTGCCATCCAACTATTAACGACTATTCTTTGGGCCGGCCATTGAACTGTTCCCAAATCCACCTACTTGTATCATTGTCTTTCATATCTCCCCATCATTTCCACAGGAATAGCATAAGATACTTTATTACACACTGGGCTAAAACCCAGGTTGCTATATCTATTGTATGTTGAAGGATTCGTGATACACTGATGCCGTGTTGGTGGAGCTGTGGTTTCGTACAATCATTCTGGAAAGCAATTTGGAATGAATGCAAACAAAGTAACTAAAATGCCCATACACTTTGCCTCAGAGATTCCACAGGCTAGGCATACACCCCAAGGAGGTCAGTGATAAAGAGAAAGATTCCATATGCGATAAACTATTTCTAGCAACACTGTTCTTTTGGTTGCAAAGAACTGGAAACTGAGCAGATGTCCATTGATTGGGGGATAGCTAAACAAGTTTTGGTCCATGAATGTCATGGAATATTGCTGCACCATAACAAATGACCAACGTGATGAATACAGAGGAGTGTGAAAAGATTGACATGATCTGACGCAAAGCAGCCAGGGCCAAGAAAACAATATGCATAATGACCACTACAATGTCAGTGGAATTAAGCAATTAAGACTGAAAGTTGGGAAATTATCAAGAACAGGTGTGGCCTCCTCCATCCTCTGCAGCATGGAATGCTGGGAATAATACCAGTTTGCTTGGTTTTGTACTTTTCATCAGTTTTATTGATTTTTTCTTTTTCTTTCTCTTTTTAAAAAATCCTTTGTTATAAGAGATGGCTCTCCGGTGTAGGGGGCGCAGAGGGAAAACTAAGTGATGCAAAAACAAACGAAAGAGTAGCAACAGCTTATTTTTAAAAGGAAAAGGAGCAAAGTTAGTAACTGACTTCACAAGCACAGCCAGCGAATTCATGCTTATGTGTGAGTATAGCCAAGTACCCTCTCAGGGTTGTTATTGTTTTGTTTTCAAGGTGTTTAAGCAAGAGTCAGCCTTTGTCTCTTCTGAGCTCCTGCCCCATATCCCCAGCTGCCAGTGGATATCTGGCCAACACCCAAACTCAACAGGTCCAAAACTGAACTTAATATTTTCCCCTGAAGGCTGATCTGACCTGGCCTCAGTGAAGTCACGCGGTAAACCCAATAACCAATTTTTTTCTTCATTTGTTTATTCATTTTGTGACGATCCTTTCTAAAATTTTGCCAGGAACTGAAGTCAGACCCACTGGTTTATAGTCGGTGTCCTCTTCCCTTTTGTAAAATCAGTCAACTAACTGTCTCTCCCATATCTCTCCTCCCTTTCTCTCTCTCCTCTTCTCTCTCTCTCTCTCTCTCTCTCTCTCTCTCTCTCTCTCTCTCTCTCTCTCTCTCTCTCTCTCTCTCTCCCTCTCTCTCTCTCTCTCTCTCTCCTCTCTCTCTCTCTCTCTCTCTCTCTCTCTCTCTCTCTCTCTCTCTCTCTCTCCCCCTCTGTCTCTGTCTCTCTCTCCTTCTCTCCCCTTCCTCCTTCTCTCTATCCTCTCTTTCTCCTCTCCATGTCTCTCTTCCTTTTCTCTCTCTTTCTCTCTTTCCCCCATATCTCTCTCCCCCTTTCTCTCTTTCTCTCTCACTTTTCTTCTCTCTCCCCCATCTCTCTCTCTTTCTTTCTCCCCTTCCTTTCTCTCTCTCCCCATCTCTCTCTTACCTTTCTCTCTCTCCTCTCTTTCTCTTTCTCTTTCTCTTTCTCTCTCTTTTCTCTCTCTCTACCATCTCTTCACTTTCTCTCCCATCTCTCTCTTCCTTTTCTTTCTCTCCTCTCCTCTCCTCTCCTTTCCTCTCTCTCTCTCTCCCCCCCTTCTCTCCTGTGCCATATATCTCCTTCTTCCAGAAACAAGAACTGAGGCCTGAACTACTCATAAGCCCTAGAGAAGGTGAGGGGCTTTTCACCAGGTAAAAATGAGGAGAAGGAATTCCACGTGGAGAGCATCATGGGAGCAAATGCTCAGAGGCAGTGGAGCTCCCTGAGGGGGGAAGCGGACAATCCAATTTGGTTGTAATATCTAGTATATGCCGAGAACTATGCAAGATCAGGCTGAAAAGCATGTTGGCATTAGACTACAGGAGAAAGCTTTGAATGCCAGGGGTTCAAATTTATTCTCAATGTTAGAAAAAAATCGTAAGAGCTATGGAATAATAGCACCTGCTCCTTGTTATATCAGAAGTACCCTATCACTAGAGGTAATTAGCTGAGGCTGTGCAGCCATCATGAAGGGTCACTATAGAAGGGACTCCTGCCCTGGCCAGGGAACTGACTTAAATGGTCTTTAAGGTCTCTTCCAGTGCCAAGAAATCTAGGATTGCATTTCCATCAGCATCATCACTCAAAGAAGAACATAAGTTTCTTGAGGGCAGAAAGGTATCATTTTCTATTTGACTTCCCCCAAAATCGATCAGTCAACAAGCTTTTATCAGGTGTCAGCTATGTGCTAGGCAGATACAATGGGACCTATGTACTATGGTACTATGGATACAAAGACAAAACTGGAACTGTCCCTGCCCTCAAGGAGCTCACATCCTCCTGCAAAGGGCCTGGTACCCAGAACAACTTAATGAGCTAAAAATGCTTTAAGATTTACAAACTTCCTCCCTCATAACAACTGCATGTGGTAGGTACATTAATTGTTACCCCCATTTTACAAATGAAGAAACTGAGGTGCAGAGGTACAAAGGGATTCCTGCTCAAGGTTACACAACCAGTATGTATCACGGCTCAGCCTCAAACCCCAAGTCCCCTTGACTCCAGGGTTAGTGATAATTCCACCATGCCATGCTGAATTTATTCAGTAACAATAGGGAGTCACTGATGGTCTTTGGGCAGGGAGGTGATAGCAACAGAGATTATTCTAGCAGTAGGGTGGGCAGACAATGAAGAGAGTTGGGGATAAAAGACCAGGTAAGAGGCCATCACAATGGTCCAGGCAAGAGGCAATAAAGGTCGGAGCAGTGGCCATGGATACGGAAAGGAAGAGATGGAGGTGACTTAGGGGTGGGCTGGAGCCAACTCCTACTGGCTTGAGAGAGCCAACTGTTAAATTCTCAGAGTGAGCATTTATACCTCAGGAATCAGCAAATATTACAAATCGGGGCCTATTATTGTACTGTTGATTTCCAGGCTTAAGAAAGTGATGGTGAAAATATTAATAATACAGATTAAGCTTAAAAGTAGGCCTTGGGTATTTTTTTCCCAGAGGGTTGATTGTTAAACATTTATCAGCATGACACTGAAGGTGAGAGATATTATGAAACAGAAGGGATAAGACCTGGGAACTTATTGGGCATGGAACATATAGGCAAGAAGGAGTCAGAGAGGAGTTTCTGAGCATGGATGGAGGGGAGAATGGCGGAGACTCTCTCCAAGCTAGGGGAGGCTAAGCACCACACCTGTCAAACTAGGCCTCTGGTATGTGCCCCTAGGGGACCTCGGGAGAAGTGTTAGAGTTCTCTGGGATCCAAAGGGCCTGCTCCTGCACCCCCATCCCTGAGCTTCTGGCTCTGTCACTATGCCAGGGTCACCCAGAGAACTTTGAGAATGCCAGGGAGGGGTCAGGGGAGGAGAAGGAGTCCATAAGCCCAACTCTGATCACACACACACACACACACACACACACACACACCCCTTTTCCTGCTCTGTCTGTTCCCCCCAAGAATCAGCAAATGAGGCCCAAAGACACTGGAACACGTCATCACCATCGTATCCACCCCCATGAGACAGACACTTACCGACACAGTTCCCTCTGTTCCATGCTACAAGCACACACTCCTCTCTCTCCCAGCCTTGCCTGCAGACACCTCCATCCCTGGCCAGACACACCTGCTTCTCTACACTTTCTTCGTTGCCTATAGTGCACACAGTGATACACAGGCCCTAACATATGCATGGTGGGACCCCAGCCTCCCACCACAGTCATGTCCTGAAAAAGCTGTTGCATAAGTTACATTTTTCAAAAATGGAGTCAGGGAAACCAGCCCCCGCCTGGAAACCCTCCAGAGACTCCGCCGTCGAGGGAGGCCTCTCTGGGAGGGAACTGGGCTTTCCCCCATCAGGTCTGCCTGAAGTGAGCCCCAGGGAGGTGGTGAGCTTTTCTACAGCTGTGCTGCCCAAGGGGCAGAGGGGACCCTGAGAATCCCAAACACTAAGTCATTCCAAAACATATCGGTCAAACTTGGCCAGTCTCTGCTTCCAGTCACAGGCGCCTACATTCATAGGGAAATAGGTTCAGAAGCCTGGGAGCTAGGGAGACTTCAGAGAGAATAATAATGACTGACTCCCATTCAGGTCATGCATTAGAATTTGCCAAATGCTTTAAAGACGTTTTGTCATGTGAACCTTCCCACAACCCTGGGCAGGATATTGCAGTGATATCATTATCCCCAATTTGCAGATGAGGAAACTGAAATCTGGTGAGGGTAAGTGACTTTGCAGAGGGAAGAGTGAGATTTGAACTCAAGTCTTCCTAATCCCCAAATCCAGCACTCTAGACCCCTGGTCTTTCTGGTGATCTGCACTCCTTTGGCAGTCAGTCTGGTGATTCTTCCCAGAATCATGTCTTTAAATGCATAACATAAAATACACTGGAATACAAGGGAGAGCGGCTCTACTGAAATACAGTGATCAACATCTATTTCCTGTCCAAGCTCATGGACCCTAGATTAAGAATGCCAGCACTAGACCATAATGTCTAGAGATTATCTAATCTAATCTCCTTTTACAGATGAGGAAAGTGAGTCTCAGCCTATCATCCCAAAGCTGGTAAGCGGCAAAGCCATTGCCTCCATGTTTCATGCCCCTGGCTCTAAGCACACCAATCTCCCCGCCTTTCCCTTCCTGGGGTTCTCTAACTACTCCTTCTCACAATTCTTCCTGGTTCCAATCTCTCCTCCCCTCCCCTAAGTAAACAGAGTAGCCAGTACTTATTAAACACCCACTGTATGCAGAGTGCTGGCAGAGAGCATGGGGGACAATATGAAGGTGTTCCTCTAGAGCTCACCATCTCTCCTGCCAGGCCCACATGTGGGTAGTCCCAAAATTCTACTGAGTCTTGCTTTAAAATTCCTTTACATACACTGCCTCCTTTCTATTGCCATCGCTGCTTCCTGTTTAATCCCATGTCCACTGCCCTAATCCACACCCTCACTGCCTTATCCAGAACTGAATAAATTATCCTCCAATTACCCCAGAACGTTGGACCTGGAAGGGCCTTAGAGATCATCTTGTCCAAAAGCCTCATTTTACAGACAGGAAAACTGAGGCCCTGAGATGGGAAATGAGCTGGGACACAAACCCAGGGCTTTGAACTCTCAGGCTGGTGCCCTGTCCTTTCTCCTGCTCTGATGCTGGCCAGTCTTCCTGCATCTCATCTCTGGCCCCTCCCATAGAGGCTGCCAGAAACATCTTCCTAAAGCTCAGGGCTGAGCCCTTGGGTTGGGGCTCTTGTGGCATACATGCATCAATGTCAGTCATGCTTGTACGCCGACCCCCCTCCTGGATGGCCCCCCCTTGATATTCAAGGCTCTTCCGGACCTGATTCTATTCCACTTTCTTCCCAATGCTCCATTAAAGGAACCCTTTACTCCAGCCAAGCCAGCTTCCTTGCTATCCCCAAAAAACCCAATTACCATTCCCACCTCCACATCTTTCCCCAAGACACTTCCCCTAGTTTGACATGCCTTTCCCTCCCTATCCAGGCTTACTCATCCTTCAAGGCCCAGCTCCACCCCCACTTCCTCCACGATGTCTCCACCAGCCATACGGCTAGACGTGACTGCTCTGTTCTCTGCAGTCCATTGGGCTAACTGTCTGCACCCCTCATTTGGGCATTTAATCACAGGCTGCCACATACTGTTACTTACCTGCTTTGTCTGCATATGTCATCTTCCCAACTAGCTTATAAACTTCTCAGAGACTGGAATCGTGTTACAACTCACCTCTCCTGAACTCAGCCAAGAACCAAGAAGGAAGCAAAGAGAGGCTCAACTAGACGTCACCAGGCTCAGATACAACAAGCCTCAGCTGTTCTCACCCTCAGGACAGCCTCTGGGCCCTTGCTCACTCACAGTCTACGGACCCATCATTTATACACAATTCTAACCCCCTCCCATACTTGCCTGATTTCCTAAAAGACAGAAGTTGGGACTCAGAGTCAGACAATGCAGGAGGAGACAGGAAAAGTATGAAAAGGAGACACAAGAACTCCCAGCAATGTGGGACCTTTCAGTGTCAGGACAGACCAATGCTTCCCTCTTAGCGTTAGTCCCTAAGGGCATCACTGTGACAGCCTAGGGCATTCATTGGCAGGTGGAGTGAGAAATTACTCTAAACCACCTTCTCAAGGAGAAGGTGAATTATAATTAGTTCAGTGTACACTTTTAAAGGCAGAGAATCATGCAAGATGTTCAGAAAGATTTCCTTCCCAAATGCTTAACAATTTTTAAATGGTGCTAGGTCCTCTTAGCTGCCAGGGCTATCCCTCTAAGACTGCCTTCTATTTATCCTGTATGTGCCTTATATATACATAACTGTTTGCTGGTTGTCTCTTCCATTAGACTAGAGTTACTTGAGGGCAGGAACTGTCTTTTGCCTTTCTTTGTATCCCCAGAGCTTAGCCCAGTGCCTGGCCCATAGTAGGTGCTTAATAAATGCTTGTTGACTGACTATCAGTGCTTAATAGAATGAGCTCTCAATGGTTGGGAAATTTCACCTATGTGGAACAGCTCACTCTGCAAGGATTCCAGATAAATAGAGTTTTATCATACTCCTGCCTTCCCCACAGAGCATAGCACAGGGATGGACAAATCAGAGCTCAGTACTTATTTACAGGATGAATGAATAAGGAGAGAGCCTTCCCTTCTGTGGGCATCAGTTTCCCATCTGTACAATTAAGGACTTGGACTAAGAACTCTAACAAGCTGAGACCTTAGGAGTGAGTTCCCTAACCACACACTGCCTAGGGAATAGAGGGAGAGGATGGGTAGGGCTTAGCTTTGAGAATATTCTGTAGGAAAGGGGAAGGGAGAGAGGTGACCCAACTTTGAATGAAAAATTGGCTGCAGACAAGCCTGAATATAGGATTAACTGGAAGCCTTCCCTCCTTGACTCCCACCCGCCAATTCATATCATATTTCCCAAGCAGCAGGGTAAGTGGTTAGAGCCCTGGACCTGGAGTCAAGAAGACCTACATTTGAATCCTGCCTTTGACATTCACTAGCTATGTGACCCTGGGAAAGTGACAATGTCTCTGAGTCTCAGTTTCCTCATCTCTAAAATGCAGATAATCAGAGTACCTACCTCACATGGCTGTTGTGAGACTCAGCTGAAATAATGGGTACTCTGCAAACCTTGAAGGGCTACAGACTTGCAAGCTGTTATTATTATTCCCCTTATACTGTATCAGAGTAATCTGTGTGCACCTGTGCCTTCTCCAACTCTATCATAAGCTCTTTGGGGGAAGGGACTGAGTTCCTTTCTTCTCCATCTCCCTTGTGGGCTCTTGTACGAGAGACCCAAAGCACAACAGCGGGATGAGGGAAGGCTTGTGGTCAGCATGGCTGGCTCAGTCCCTTGTTCTCCCCCATCCCTCCTGCACAGGCTGCCAGAAATGTCTTCCTCCAGCCTGGCTCTGATCACTTGGTTCTGCTCCCCTCCAAGCCTCTCATCTGCATTTGTGCCTTTCTCCCCCTTCCGGGTGGCATGCTCCCGGCACTGAAGTCTCTCCATGACCTGCCTCAGACTGACCTGCTTCACGTTACTCCAGCCCATGAACCCTATGCTCCAGCCAGGCCAATCCCCTTCCTGTCTTAGAACATACCCTACCCAAGGTCACACCCTAGGGCAAATCACTGCATTTCCCTGAACCTCAGTTTGCTCATCTCTCAAATGGGGGCAATCATACTTTCCCTAGACATGGCATAAAAATGTCTGCCATTTCACATGGTAGCTTCAAGGAAGATGTTTTCAGTTCAAATCAACTCAGTTCCACAAGCATGAATCAGATGCCCACTAGCTGCCAGGTCCCATGCTAGGAGCCAAAAAGACAAAACAGTCCCTGTCTTCAAAGAGCTCACGTTCTACTTAGAGAGACACAATATGGGCACTAGTAAGCCAGTACAAATTACATACAAAATTAGGACAAATGACTGCGAAGAGAATCACCAGTAACTGGGGAGGCGAAGAGGGTCAGGAAAGGGCTCATGGAGGAAGTGGTGTTGAGTTGGGAGTTAGGGATTCCACAAGGTAGAGGAGCAGAAGGAGAGTCTTCCAGGTACAGAGGACAGACAGCCTGTGCATAAGCAGTGAGGCCAGAGATGGAGTGCTGTGGGTGAGAACAGCAAGGAAGCCAGCTCGTCTGGAACACAGAATGCCTAAGCGGGAGTGACGTGAGCTCAGTCTGGAAAGGCAGGCTGCAGCCAGACTTCCAAGGTCTTTAAACACTAGAGGTGCTTATATTTTCTCCTGGAGGCCAAAGAGGGCTAGTGAAGGTTCTTGAGCAAAAGAGAAGCACAGTCAGACCTGCCCTTTGGACAAATGAAATTCCTGCTATGAGAAGGATGTAGACCTTCCTTGAATTTAACTGAAGGACGTCACCCCCACTGTGACCATGCCAACCACACACACACAGGACCCACTCTGCCCTCATTATCACAAGCTTCTATTGTTCCCTTGAGGAGGGAGGAAGAGAGACAGAAATAGAGGGACAGAGACAGAGAAAGAAACATAGACAAGAGAGACAGACACAGAAACAGACACAGAGACAGAGAGGGAGAAATGGGAGAAACAGGGACAAAGCCTGGGAATGAATGAGTGTATGGATGAATGAATGAATGAATGAGTTTTTAAAAGCACTTATTAAGTGCTTACTATGTGCCAAACATTGTGCTAAGTGACAGAGATATAAACAGAAAAAAAAAATCTTACATTCCCTGCTCTTAGGAAGCTCACACTTCAATTGAGGGAGAAAATGCCTAAAAGAAAATTTAGCTGCAGAGCAGATGGAAACAGAGAGGCAGAGACAGAGACAGAGACAGAAAAGAGGCAGAGAAAGAGGCAGACACAGAGAAGAGGCAGAAGAGACAGAGAAGAGGTAGAGGCAGAGACAGAGGCAAAGAGGCAGAGACAGAGAAAGAGGTGGAGACAGAGACAGAAAAGAGACAGAGAAAGAGGCAGAGACAGAGAAGAGGCAGAAGAGACAGAGAAAGAGGCAGAGAAAGAGGCAGAGACAGACAAAAAGGCAGAGACAGAGAAAAGGCAGAAGAGACAGAGAAAGAGGCAGCGAAAGAGGCAGAGACAGAGAAGAGGCAGAAGAGACAGAGAAAGAGGCAGAGACAGAGAAGAGGTAGAGGCAGAGACAGAAAAGAGACAGAGAAAGAGGCAGAGACAGAGAAGAGGTAGAAGCAGAGACAGAAAAGAGACAGAGAAGAGGCAGAAGAGACAGAGAAAGAGGCAGAGGCAGAGACAGAAGCAGAGACAGAGAGATCCTGAACAGATCCGCACACTGGCCCACACAGGACTACAGATACATACACATGACTGCCCTCCTCCCTTGAGCTTCAGTCCCCATTGTCATGTGGCATTGTAGGAGAATGAACTTTGGCTTTGGAGACCAAAGTAAGTGGTTCAAACCTCACCAGCTCCACTTACTACTCATGTGACACTGGTTGGGTCCTGTCTCCCAGGATGGACTCAGTTTTCTCACCTGCATAATGAGGGGCTGGACTAGATGGTCTCTGTGGGTCATTGCAGTTCTAGATAGATGA